AAAATGCTTTCGCCTCTAGTGGAAAAAGCCCCGATGGTCCCTTTTATCTCCTCATTCCTGAGGCGGGCCTGGCCCCCGTGTGTTTGTGCAGATGGGCCTCGGGAACGTTCCTGGGAGCGGGGAGGCAGATGGAGCCCAGGCCGTGTTGCGTCTGTGGCTAGGGCCAGCCGGCGGGCTGGAGGCGTCTGCAGGGGTACCCACAACAGGCATCGCCCCCCAGGAGGCCAGGGTCTGCAAATGGGGCTTCCAGGGTCTGGAGGCATCCATGGCCCGGCAAAGGCTGCCGGCCACCCTCCCAGCCGGTGGCACAGGCCTGCCCCGCGGCCCTTCCTGAGGGGGTGTTTCTCCCTGCTGCCTCTCCACGAGCGCGGGCAGCCCCACTCCGTCTCCGACCCCTCCGGACACCTGCCAGGCCCACACCCAAGTGCCCAGCCCACCCCTGATTCAGCCCAGCTCCCCTCCCTAGAGACCCGCCACCCCCAGCCTGTTGCCCCCCGAACTTTGCGCTTCTATCAGTGGCTTGGAACAGCCTGTCCCAGCTCACCACGTGGCACACTCCTGCCATCGCTGAGATCTGGGATCCAGCCCTTGCCCATGTCCCCTCTCACCCACTCGTCAGCGCCCAAATGGAGCCTGTGACTTCACGGGCTTATGTCCGGCCTGTTTCTCCTGGAACAAGAGGCTCAGCCTCCTGAGGACAGAGGCCTCAGGGTCTCGCGTCCTCTGCCGCACCCTCTGGTGGGGCCCACGAGACACACACCAAAGATGGCTGCCCTGGTCACACCTCTGGCTCCCGCCACAACCGGTCCCCCTCGGAGCAGCCCTCTTACCTTCTAAGTTCCCTCGCATTCTGGACCTCGGTGTCTCCCTCCTGAATCTTGACATCAGCCTTCTAACTGGTCATCAAAACCGGCCAGTGGGTACCCCCTGGTCCAAGGCGAGGCCCCGCCTTCTCTGCATGGCCCACAGGGTACCCCAACCAGGCCCCTGCACCCGTCCTGCCCAGCCCTCTGCACTCCATCACACTCAGGGCACTGTTGGAGGCACATCACCCAGAGGCATCCATGGCTAAAGGACATAGGCCAGGGACATGCCAGTAGAAGGGGGCAGGCGGGGAGGGTCTGTTGGTGCCATGGGACTGCAGGCTGAGCGGCTCCCCAGGGAGACCCTGGTGGCATCACCTGGAGCGCGGATAGGATGGTGTGAGGAGGTCAGCTGTGGTCACCAAGACAGACTGGAATCAAGCTACGTGCAACTGCACACTAACAAGACCCAGGCCTCAGTTCCTTCTGCTACAAAATGGTAGGAGCATAAGCCATTCTGGGCTATAGTGAGGGTTCCAGCACACATAAGACCCTCATCACAGCCTGGTGCTCACTACGCAGGAGTCATCTTGACTCTGCCTCTACTTCAGTCCAGGACATCGAATGCCCTTACCCACGGGGAGTGCTGCCACTTGGGTCTCTGGGCCCCAAAGCTCATGCCCTTTTCTTACTGCCGGTTGGTAGATGAGGGGCCCTGGTGGGATAGTCTCCACGGTGTCCTAAGAGCAGCGCCTGGACCCCCAAAGCTGGCGGGACTTGGGACCACAAATACAGCCAGCAGCAAAGGGAAATAAGTTCCCAGGACGTGAAGATGGCGGTGAAGGATGTTGGGAGCGAAGTCGTCCGCCCGGAGAGCTCCCCAGAACACAGGTTTGAGTTGTTTCTGAGCACGTCCTTACCACGGACCAAGTCCTTGGCCTCGTAGCTTCCAGGTTCTCCCAGGCCAGCCCAGCAATAACTGGCATCCTCTGAGCAATGGAACCCAACAAATCCTGGAGATGAATGAGGAAACGTAGCAGAGCTGAACGCAATGGCGCGATGCAGTTCCACGGGCAGGATTCCACTTTGCAGGTTACCTGGCCCCGCTAAGAAAGCTCCTTACGAGCTTCCATTCTCCCACGTGGCTCCACCTAGCTAATAAAAATTCAAGCCACCGAATTAGAATCTCTGCGCCTTTGGTGTGTGTGGGGGGGTCCACTGCCCCACCTTTGGACAGATAAACACCTGCAGACCACCACATACTCAGGTGCTTACTAAATGCCTACAAGGGACTAGTGAGATCCAGCCATATGCAACCAGTCAGCAGAGGCCCGGACATCCCTGGAGCTCTTCAGTCAAGTTCCCAGTGTCTTCTCAGGTTGCTAGACCAAGCTGTATATAGAAAAGAGGGCATCTGTCGAGGATATGACAGAAACTTGTCACCATGGTGGAGGGACTGGGGGCCAAGGGCGGGCGGGAGAATTACTTTTTACTCTATAATTTTGTGGTTTGTAAATTGGTTTTCTTAACCATATGCGTATTACACATTTTAAAAACATTTCCTACAAGAAAAAGGGGTGAGGACAAGTATATAGAAATACTCTAATTTCATCCAAGAAGTCCACAGCAGCAATGTGCTTGGCTAATGGGGAAATCCTGGCTACCGGGCAAACCGCGACTCCTCAGAACTTCCACGGAGATCCTTCGTGCGTCCCTTCGGCATGAGTCCTCGGCCGGTGGATGAGAGTCCAAACGCGGAAGGTTCAAGATCTCATCTCTGATGCCTGGATGCCAGGGCCGAGAAAAACAATCCCTCACACTCCATGGCCCTTCTTCAAGGGGGATCCGCTCACACCTGGAAGCCACTGGGATGTTTAAGAGGCCATTTCGTCTTGCGACAGTCACTTATGAAGAACTAAGTATGTATGGGTGGCGGCTTTGCCTGGGACGAATGCTCAACTAGCACCCGGTTCCTGGGTTCAAGTGAGCTTTCAGCAGAAACTCGGACGAGGAGTCTCAGCGTCTTCCACAACATTCTCATGGGCTCCGAACTCCGGACAGAGCCTTCAACCTCATTTTACAAAGTAGATGATCTGTTAAATCCCTAAATTTTCACTGTATGCCACTGAACTCCTTCCTAGTAGTACATAACATTTTTTTTTTGAAAAATTTCTTAACAGAACATCAGAGTGTTGCAACACTTTATTAGGAGTATTGGCTTTGAATTAGTAGCTGAAGTAACAATTGCATGAAGCCAGAGTAGGTGTACTGCATAATACTCATACTTGATTTACTGACATTACTTAGCAATTTATTGGACAAAGGTCAAACTTTTCATTTTTTATTAAGCACATTCCACAGTACAAAGCTGTCATGAATAATATCTGTACAATTTAACAGTTTCAATAGCTGTTCAGACACAAATTTATTTCAAACAGATAATTGGCAAACATAATTAATTACAAGTTAGAATTAGACTATCCCAGTGCTTTAAAACATTAATATAGCAGTAATTTACAGTTGCTCAATTATGGTTAGCAAAATAAAGTCCAGAGTACGGCTGGGAATTACTATTATAATACCAGAAAGTCAGAATTCCTTGGGTGCCAAAGTCCCCTGCTATAATTTAGTAGGCACAATTCAAAGGTTGTGTGCATATTCAAAGGCCATGATCTCCCAAGGAACAAAAGGAACGTCTATATTAAACATGCAAAAACAACAACAAAAAATCCATTCATTCAGAAGAACTGCCTCCTCCCCTTCCCTCCTCCCTTCCCCGGACTTTCCTACCCAACTTGGTATTAAGATGGACAGTGGTCAAAGCTACGACACTTTCACAACCACCATCAAGCTTACAACATCCACCTTGTGAATGGTGTTTATTTTTTACACTTTGAGACTCAACCTCTCACAAACAGAAATTAATTTAGGAACGTGGAAGGGAAAAATATATGTTTTTATAAAAAGGAAAACTAAAAAGCAAAGCCAACTCCATAAACAAATCACAGACACACACATTGATCCCCACACCCTTCTCATGCAAGGGACACTGCGAGTCCAGGGGCCTTCCCTGGTGGGGTTGATGCGTGTCCCGGGAAGAGGCTGGATGCATGGGAGGTTGTGTCTTGGTCCTTTACAATGTTACTGACATTCCCTGATCTTTGAAAACAACGGCAAGGGGTAGATCAAAACTTCATATTGGCCAAGGGAGGAGTGCCAGCCGATGCCAGTCCTTCCACGCATGTCGGGGGGACAGAGCCATTCACACATGCAGCGGCGAGCACGCCGGAGCTCTGAGAACCTGCCAGGCCACAGGTGCTAGGACACCAGAGATGACCACGGGCGTGGGGCTTTCAGGGGTGCCCCCCCAGTGTGGGCCTCTGAACCAGCCTGACGCTCAGCGGCTCCAAAGCAGAGCGGGGCCAGGAACCCAGTCAGCGGGAACTTCTGGCTCGTCCCTTCCCGGGGTGCGGTTGCACAGAATCATGGTTTTTGAAGGCGAAGCCAATGAACACGACAGGAAGTGACACCAGTACTTATGAGGAAAGAACAAAAAGGAAAAAAAACCATGTGCATGGCACCTCTACATTGTGTATACTGCACAACCAACATTTTGTGTTAAGCTTCTGAAGTTACATTTTAAAACAAGATTCCCATGAAAACACACACACCACACACACACAATGACAACAACAAAATAAAAACACTGTCTGAATACTGCAGGAAGGGTTCTAGGTCATCCACTTCACCCTGGTATCAGGTTCTTGAGCCCAGCCCGGGGCGAAGTTGAACACACTCTGCATTAGTGTCTCAGGCCCGGGGCCCTGACTCTAGCAACCTTGAGGTTAAACTGTTATGTACATCATATCTACATGCGGATACAGTATTTTAAGTTAGGAGGCAAGCACACGCGTCAAGGTGTTACTCTACCAAATATCAGGAGATGGCTGGGGGACAGAGAACAGTTAATAAAAGAAAAGAGCTATATTACCTGTTGGGAGATAATATAACTGGCTTACAGTTCTTTAAATTAAAAGAAATTGGTACAGAAAGGAAGTAAATCCAAAAAATATTACTAAAACAATCCCGAAAGATTTTTCCATTGTCCAACATGTTCCTAATATAACAAGTCAGAATTCATAATGACTTGGACGGTCAAAAGGAGAATGCCAACTTCTGAAAGGAAAGCCCTGGACTTTCTGGGTAGGTGTTTGGCACCCAAAATTTCACCAAAGAAGAATGCTGTTTCTTAATATCAGACCAAAGTGCAAAGCAATATAAATAGAGGCCAAGTCTTCTCTTGACGGTCGATTTACTTCTGTGAGACAGACTGGACGTTCCTTTTCTATTAACAATTTACACTTGAAGCATTAGGTTTTTCACTGATGAGGGGAGGAAATGGGCTTCTGCTCTACTTGAAGTCAGGGAAGCTAAGGTATCCTTCTCAGAGCTGAGCCGGAATCAGAGGTGAGAAATGTCGGTGCTTGAAGAGTTAGGCTGCTTTGCATCTACCCAGCGTCTAGAACCAATTCCAGCCTCATAACTCAGCTGTGGAACGAACTCCCTTAGGCATCTGGTAGCCATGTAGCCAGTAGTTCAAGACTAGAAAACCCTGAAAAACAAAAACAAAAGGAGTGCGTGGATATTGCGGTTAGACAGGGCTATATACATCACACCCATTTCCAATCATACATAGACATGTACTCTTAACAGGCTCGACTTCTCAAATAATTAGCATTAAACATAGAAGCTACAAGTTGTCCTGAGTGTATTACATACCAGGCATCATATTAATTTAAACCTCCTAACAACCCTATAAGGCAGAAACTATTATGAAACCTACTTCACAAATAAGAGGCTCAGAAAGGTTAGGTATGTGGTTCAAAGAGTTAGCCATGAGGTGACAGACAGAGGACTCAGAGGGGCTGACCCTACAACCTATCACGCCTCAGTGCTGCTGCTAAGGAGTATGCACATAACAAAATATGCTTAAGATTAGATTTTATGTTCAGCGTAATCTTTTATGACATTCAGAACCTACAAGAGGCCGGTCTCATATCCTCATGAGAGCCCTCATCCATCACCGTGAAACAAAAATATGCAAAAATTATCCCTTCTAAAGAGAATGCAAATGATCAGAAATTGCTTCTCTTTTTTTTTTTTTGAGTTGGAGTCTCACTCTGTCACCCAGACTGGAGTGCAGTGGCCGCTCCCGGCCACCACAGCCTCGACCTACTGGGCTCCGGCGATCCCTCCGCCTCAGCCTTCCGAGTAGCCGGAATTACAGGCGCGTGCTACCACGCCCGGCTGATTTTTTTATTTTATTGTAGAGATGAGGTCTCGCCTGCCCAGGCGGGTCTCGAACCCGCGAGCTCAGGCAATTCACTCACCTCAGTCTCCCAAAGGTGTGGGATTATAGACTGAGCCACCGAGCCCGGCTGCTTCTCTTTTAATTTAAACAAATCGTTTGTAAAAGGACAACACAGTATAGGGGGAAAGATGCCTGAATGTTCCACATTTTTTTGACCATGGCCTTGAGTCAGAAACACATTTAATCAGTTTCTACATTTATTCACGTATGTAAATGTGCAAGCATGCACGCACGCACACACACACCCCTAAAATAGAATATTCGTGAGACAATCATTACATATCATTACTATTAATAGGTACAATGCAGGCTGACATTTCTATTCTAAATCAAAACAAAGTCAAAAACCACTCAAATTATGTCCCAATCACTGATGGGTCACATCAGTGCTGCACTAAACCACTGGCCTAAAAATCTAAAGTCACCTTAGATCTAAAATTCTGTGTCAAAAATAAAAAATGTTTAAAAAGAGTTTTAAAAGCAACCTTTCCAAAAGGTTGTCAATTTCCATAAAATCAAGTATCCTAATAAGGTTTCCCAATGAATTCAAGAAAGATTAAATTTCATTTGCCACTGTTTTCACATTAAGGATATTTAAGAGCACCCGAATTATTCAGAAAATATTAAGCCCCAAGATTAGAAGGGGGTGCTCCCAAATGCAGATGGGGAGCATGGGCTGACTTCGTTCTTCTGGAGGGGAGCGTGACCCTACGTACCAAGTCTCTGCACATGATATCTTTTAACCCAGGCACTCCAGACATTTCCAGAACCTTATCCAAAAGCAATAAAGGGTTGGGCAAAGATTAAGCTAAAAGAATGACCATAGCACTGTTTTTTTTATAACAGCTAAAAGCTGGGACACACACACACACAACAGAGCGTATCCAAACAATCGAGTATTATTTGGCAATTAGGAATTATAATGTAGACAAATGCTGACATTACTAACACACAACAATTTCACAAGAAAGAGGGAGAAAAAGTATTTTTAAAATGTTCTGTTGTAAATCATAATTTCTAAAAGTCTAAAGGGACATATACAAAAGAGTTAACAGTGGTGAGCCGTGAGTAGGAGTTTATTTTCATTTTTGGGGGGCTTATCTTCTTTTTCTAATTTCTTAGTAATGATCTTATATTGTCTTGTAATAAGAGAAGAAGTTTTGAGCTACTACATATACAATATACAGCACATAGGAGTCAGTAATTTTTTAAAAAATGACTCGGCAAATAAATCTATTGCTACATTTCCTGACATGGAGATACTCTTACTTGATATTTTAGGGGTGAATATTTTACTGCAAGGTTAAATCATCATTAGGGTAGTGTTTCTTATTATGCATAAATCTTACAGTATCACATGGTAATAATTTTTTTCATGCTACAATAAATGAAAAGAATTTGGAAAAGAGCAATAAAATCTATAAAGTTGACTGCCAAGGTTGTCAAAAGTAATTCACTTTGAAGAGACAAACATATTTGGGGTTTCATTACTTGTGCTGGGATACAGGGAACCACTACCTTAAAAAGCAGATAAGATTTTTCCATTGACTTATAATTGTGAATAGTAACAAGGCAGTTTTTCTTAGGTTTCCAAAAAGGGGTGGGAGGAGGGCCTGGGAGAAGTTTCCTTTTCATCACAGCCAGTGAAAACTTGCACTGCTGGTCACTGCTTTATCTCTCAACCAAAGGAATCTTGTTTTGGGGTACTTTTAAGTAATTTATAGAAGCTGTCGATTCATCCATTAAATACACCAGGAAAAAAAGAAGCATAATATGGTTATCTTGAATTTTGCCAAGAGCCCTTTTAAACAGAGTGTAAAGACACAAACATATACCAAAACACAAAAGAGGTCAACTTAAATTGTTCCATGACACACCTACTCCGAGTGTACTCATTCCAGAAGCCCAGCTACAGTTGTCCATGTTCTACTTTATGTGTTTTCTTAGGTAAAAAAATAAAAATAAAAGCAGGGGAAAGATGCAGCTAAAGCAATGCACAAAGGAAAATGTAGTTTTAAAAGTTCCCATTAAGAGAGCCATGCCAGCTAGATGTGTTCCCTATATAGACAGAAGGTAACTAGATGTGTTCCCTATGAGGACAGGTGCCTGGATGTGTTCCCTACAAGGACAGGTACCTAGGTATGTTCCCTATGTAGACAGATACTATAGCTACTCAGAAGGCTGAGGCAGGAGGATTGCTTGAGTCCAGAAGTTCAAGGCTGCTGTGCACTCTGATCACAGCTATGAACAGCCATTGTACCCCAACCTGGTGAAACTATATCTCTAAAAAAAATTTTAATTATTTTCAAAAAGTTCCCATTAAGTATAATGTCAAACTCTCCATAGAAAAAAAAGTTTCCATTAAGAAAAAGACTGGAATAAATTTAACAAAAGATGTGCAAGACTAATACATGAAAAATCGTAAAACGTTGCTTCACAGAAGCTGAAGAAGACCTAAATGAGAAAGATCATGTTCATGGATTAGAAGACTCAACATTTATTCAAATGAAATATTCCCCAAAATGATCTTTAGATTCCATGCAGTCCTAATCATAATCCCAGGAACCATATTTCTAGAACTTGACAATCTAGTTAAAAAAACAAGCCTAGGCCGGGCAGGATGGCTCACGCCTATAATCCCAGCACTTTGGGAGGCGGAGGTAAGAGGATTGCCTAAGCCCACAGGTTCGAGACCAGCCCGGGCAATTTGGTGAGACATCATCTCTACAATAAATCAAATAATTAGCCAGGTGTGGTGGTACATGCCTATAGTTCCAGCTACTTGGAAGGCTGAGGTGGAAGGATCACCTGAGCCCAGCAGGTCCAGGCTGTGGTGGCCACGAGCATGCCACTGCACTCCAGCCTGAGTGACAGAGTAAGACTCCAACTCAAAAAAAAAAAAAAACTATAAACCTTAGGCCAAGAAATTTTTATTTTTTTATTTAAAAGATATGGGATGCAAAAAACGATTTTTTTTTTTTTTGGCCTTCCAAGTAGCGGAACTACAGGCACACACTATCGCGCCCAGCTAATTTTTTATTTACTGTAGAGAGACTAGGTCTCGCCAAGTTGCCCAGGCTGGTCTCGAACTCGCAGGCTCAGGCAATCCACTAGCCTTGGCCTCCCAAAGTGCTGGGATTACAGGCTGAGCCACCGAGACCGACCAAAAAACGATTTTTAAAAACAAAAAGTTGGAAGACTTATTAAAAAGATAGTTGGTACTGGTAAGGATAGCCACACAGAGCATGAAAAAAAAAAAGAGCTTAGAAGTCGACCTACATAAAAGTGACTTATTGATTTTTTGACAAAGGTGCTAAAGCAATTCAATGGCAAGAGGAAAGTCTTTTAATTAAATACTGCTAAAATAACTAAATAGCTGTATAAAAAAGGACAAAGACATTCTTACCTCACAACATACACAAAAATCAACTTTTAATAGATGAGATGCCTAAATATAAAAGATAAAAAAGCTAAACTGATCCAAACACAGTATTCATGAGCCATAGTGGCTAATTAAATTAATCTTAAATAAAACACAATTAAGTACAATGAAAAATTCAGTTCCTAAATGATACTGGCCATGTTCCAAGGGCTCAGTGGTCACATGCAGCTATCAATTACTACAGTGGACATACAGTGAACAGTACAGCTCTAGAAAATACAGACAAATCCAGTGATAAAAAGTAAGTCAAGGATGAAGTCAGGCTTGAACTACAGAAGGACACAAGAGAACTTTTGGGGTGATAGAAATGTTCTGATCTTGATTGTGGAGGTGGTATAAGGGGGCAGACAAGTGTAAAAACTCATTAAACAGTACACTTCAAATGGGTACAATTTATTTTACACAAAATATGCTTCAATAAAATTGACTTAAAACACACAAAAGAAAGCTGAGGCAGAAGGATCGCCGGAGCCCAGCAGGTCGAGGCTGCGGTGGCCGGGAGCGGCCACTGCACTCCAGTCTGGACAAAAGAGTGAGACTCAAACTCAAAACAAACAAACAAACAAACAAAGGCACAGAAAAGATGAAAAGAGCAGGGCAGAGGAAGATCAATACACCTAGGTACCTGCCTATGGAGGGAAAACATCTAGGTTCCTGTCTACATACAGAACACATCTAAGTACCTGTCCTCGGAGGGAACACATATAGGTACCTCTCATGGTAGGGAACACATCTAGGTACCTGTCAACAGAGGGAACACGTCTAGGAACCCATCCTCATAGGGAACATACCTAGATAT